TATACACACTTGAGCCAGGTCAGTACTTAGATGGGGACCGCTTGGGAACACCTGGTACTGTAAGTCCCCCAAAGTCCAACCCTTACCTCACAGTCGGTGGGGGTGTAAACAGTAGTGTCAGAGCTATACCGCCCGGAACTTCGTTCCTGGTAGGAGCCACAAGGCGGACAGGTCTGACACACACGCCAGCTAACAAGGGCTCTGCTGAAATCCAAGGAGCGTCTGCATCGGTAACCGGCGGCTTCTGGTCGTCCCTGTCTCTGCGTCTGTGGGAACCCCGCGGCAAGCAAGAACGTTATCCGAGTAGGCCTGGGTACCCTACTTCTGTAATTTATCTTAAGAATCTTCTTCTCATAACAGGAAAAGCCGGATCAATCCGCCCAGGGTGAATGCCGCATCAGTACAGTACACACACACACACACACACACACACACACACATATATATATATATATATATATATATATATATATATATATATATAAATGGACATATCAAGGTAATTATTCTGTATATATAAAAATAATATCTGCTGTGCTCTATTTTTTTAATATTGGGCACTATATGAAAATCTCTGCTTCTCTTTTAAGTCTTAAAATTATATATATATATATATATATATATATATATATATATATATATATATTTATATATATATATATATGCATACACACACATATACATATATATATATATATATACATATGAAATATGAAACGGATCATCACCGTTCGTTGTCATATATATATATATATATATATATATATATATATATATATATATATATAGAGAGAGAGAGAGAGATAGAGATAGAACTCATTGGGATCTTTAGCCTTGCTTAGTATACAGTCTACCAGTAATCTGAACGTAGCGATGAATGAGCCGAAAATTTTGTCCCTCCAACGACGTAAGAGTTCATCATATTTATATACACGTATATACACCCACATATATATATATATATATATATATATATATATATATATATATATATATATATATATATATATATATATATATATATGATGACGATTACTGCTGGTCGTAAATTAACGTCTTACCCAGGACACGGATGTAGTCTAACGACTTAGCCAGGACGAACTGGCAGTTTTGGGTCATTATATATATATATATAAAAAGAAATTTTATATAACCAGCCCTTAAACTCATATATATGATGACGATTGTTATTATATTGATGTAAATAAGATGATGAGGCTTAAATTTTGAATTAATTTCAATGTACTTCACTGGATGTCATTTGTACTTCCTCTTTACACCCTGCTTCATTGTATCGACACATTGCTTCTCCTTTTTCATTTCCCCCTCTCCTCTCTTCAATAATATAAATCTCCCACAAAAAGTTTTCTAGGTTAAATAATTTAGACATTTACTTCCTGTTCTCTTGAGATTTAATTGTTTAAATAATTTTTTATATATTCTTCGGTTAAATTTTTAACCATTTTGTAATTTCCGTCTGATGAGGCTTACGGTTTAAAAACTTATCTGTCAAAATGAATTTATTACCGATTTTATTGCGTTAATTTTTCTCCTTTTTAATGCATATCATGTTGCTCTTTATGCAATACATTGAGCTCTCTTCATTGATCTATATTTTATATTAAAAGACCTCCTTGGATTAGGAAATATATATATATATATATATATATATATATATATATATATATATGTGTGTGTGTGGATATATATATATATATATATATATATATATATATATATATATATATATACATACACAATTTTATATATATTATTCGTGGTACTTATTGGAAAGCGCTCAATATCATATTTAATTTGTTTGAGTTTGTGACGATATTTGTGATCGTCAGACAAACATTAAATATATATATATATATATATGTGTGTGTGTGTGTGTGTGTGTAATATAATTGGTCAATATATATATATATATATAAAAGTGTAAAAGTGTACATTGAAGTCAAAACTTAGAGGCGACAGGCTGTTTCATGCTAGATGCAATTGCCTTTTATATTTACACACGCTCTATCTCTGATATTTAGCACTTTATCCAATAAATATAGCACACCTTAATAGTATATTTCGTCATATATATATATATATATATATATATATATATATATATATATATATATATATATATATATATATATAGGGGAGAGACGTGAGTCTCCCAAAAATGAATAATGGTATATGACCCACACGAGACAGCCAGATGTAGGTCGCTGGTGTCTTGAAGGGACGCTGCACGTAGAAGAACACTTATAGTATGCGCGTGCGTGTGTATGTGTGTATATGTGTGTCCAAAATGTATGCTTTGGTAGGAGAGTGCTATGAATATGGGAATTAGCGTCATCGGTGTCTCATTGCCCTCTTGATTTTAGAAACTCTTTATTACACACTATAAATACTATAATTCTGGAGTTTACGGGAGGGTTACCATCGCGCACGCGCACACAAACGCACAGACACATACACACACAGAAACACATACACGCAC